AATCAGCTGTTCTAAACTTCCTCATTGGAAGTCACGAAAAAGCGGTGGGTTTTTCGAGAAGTTGTTGATTATGTAATTGCCGGAGAGTTCTTCGTCTTCTTGTAAGTGTTATTGAAGCGTTTGGCCTAGTAGATTGTATATCAGTATACCCTTGCAGGCTCTGAAGAAGGCGATACTGCCGAAACGTCAGCTAGCGTTGTATTGTATTGTGTTTTTATGGAAGTAAATGTATGCTGTTTAAAAACCTCGCGATTGCTGAACAAGAAAACGACACATTCATATTCCAATGCCGAGGTTAAGAGAAAGTCGATCCTGGGAACTATTACAAGAAACTCTAATATTCACATGTGGTATTATGTGATTGGAAATGACAATAAAGCTCTAATACCGAGAAGGCTAAATAATGTTTTAAGGCACTTAGAAAATTGTCCAGAAAGAAGAACTATGCGAGATATTTATGAATAGCTAGCAAAACTTGGTTAGTATCCTTGTCCTTACACTATCACATGGAGCCATTTACGCCAAAATTGTTGAATTGACAAACTTTATTGATTTATCTACCGATAACTTTTACTCTCGTCACTAGTTTTTGAGTCAGAACGAAGGGTAAATAAGGCGTGACTAAAATGTTGAGTGCGACGACTTCAAGAATTCACCTAAGCCAAAATCTGAAAGGAAAAGCAAAAGGATTTGAAATTTGTAAAACTCAGATGTTAAAAGTGCTATAGGACAACAACGGAGATGCAGGTAATTATTATCGTTATGATTATTTTTCTCCACCTTGGAGAGATAGCATACCTGACAGAGCTTTCCATACCTTCGTCAGTTGAATGTGGTGTGGTTTTCAACATCTTTTCTGAAAAGTCCTACAAATTTTTGTTGCCTTTCTTTGGTGTGCAAACACTTCTCAGACATATATAATGCTGAGATATTTGCAAAACTCCGGACCGCAGGTGTATGCGGTGGGGAACGAACACGCGTTGTTGTCCTTACCGGGGAGTAGCGCACTTCACCACCACACCATCCGAGTCCTTTCTTGTGCATGTCTCTCAGCTAGTTAAAAGATCGATAGATAGAAAGGACAATAGCGCGCGTTCGTTCCCCACCGCATACACCTGCGGTCCGGAGTTTTGCAAATATCTCAGCATTATATACGAGTTATATTTCGCAACATACCCTGCCATTAAAAAGAAAAAGGCAGCAAATAAAAGGGCTAAGATTGTGATTATAACTTAGACAATTTAATTCACTGTTACAACAATTAAAATTGTAAATGGTCCCGTTCTGTCAACACCTTCAGACTCTTTTCCGGAAAAGTCTGTGGACGTCATGATCTCAGTTTGTGATTTCCTCTCTCTTTCAGGAAAACAACTTGAAATACCCATTCACGTGATGAGTTTTGAATCGCATTTGTTATCATTCACTCGAATCATTCGCCTTTTTATGAATAAGTGAGTATTTTTAGAAGGGAACCGTCCACTCTTCGCTCGAATTTGTTAACAACTTGGTAAACTAAACATTATGAATACATTCTGCCGCAGAAGCGTGCGGATGATGACATGCGAATAGACGACGGTTGCTGCGTTAAAGTAGATACGCATTCCACTAAAATCTATACATACTCCTGCAAGGTTTAAACAAACTCACTCAAAGTGACCTTCATCAAATAAATTAAAAACCGAACGAATATGCAGATCTCTGTGAACAAGATGCAAATTTTCTTCTTATACCATAAAAATGTCCAGAGTTTTTGAAGATTACAAATTCTTTTTGTGCCTTTCTTATTTGTGTTGGTTAAGGAAAAACAAAATGGTTGGATGAGCTATGAAAATGCACTTAACCAGTCTTACATGCAATGAGAACTAATGGTAGGGGCTTGGGCACAACTGCGTTCACCATTTCTTCATGTTAAATGTGCTTCAGGGTACCGGGAGTGCATTGGTAGTGAAGCCGATTATGACGACCACGGTGCTGGTTCGACGCCCCTTTGGACTCAAAGTCTCTCAGCACTCCGGGGTAGGAAAAATTGATACAAGGCTTCTGTGGGAAGAGTTCAGTCTCTGTAAATCAAGTTGGAACGCTCACGCCCGATAGGCTCAGGACTTCAAGGTGGATCGATACGATCAGTATTTAGCGGCATTCGTGACTAAAGGAAATCCTCAAGCAGTAGCCGAACAGAGACAGAAGAGGGAACGGAAAGAATGAAATGTTGGGATCAGTACTGTAGATGTGAAGGATAGTTTATGTAAAATAAAAAAGAAATCGTGCGTCTGAGATGAAATAGTAGTAAAGTTCTCTTTTTATCATCGGTATTCCATGAATGTGTCACTGGGAACATTCGAGCAACTAACATATGAGTGTCTAAATGTCGTGAAACATACGTATTTTTGCCGACGAATCCACAGTACCCAATGGGTCCTCACCAACGCCGTGGTCTGGAATATTGTACCACTCACAACATATGGACCGCGCAACTGTGCCGTAACAAAACGCATCCTTCTAAAATCAGCATAAGAATTCACCTTTAACAAAGACCGATATGAAAGGGACTTACTCCAGGACATTCAGTGCTCGTGTTGCACAGGGTTCTCGAACCATCGCTTTTGGTAAGGCTGTTGGATTTTTGAGGGCAATCGAGTGCCGACTCCTCATAAGCGATGGTGGTGTGGAAATTTCGTTTTTGTGAAACTCGTTTGTCACTTTTGGTTCCTACATTGTCGACTTGCCCAACCTCGTCTATTCGCTCACAGCAGATGTACGTAAGTCCAACAGCGGTGCATATCATAGATTCCCGAAACACACTAATTTTTAAACAAATTAGGACGCTATTGCCAGGGGCAATTAGTTTGCTCAGTTCGTGATTAAGTTATTACGAAATAGATGTATAAAAATGGTTGGTCAAGCTAAAAAGAAGCAGTGTTTATAGAAGCTCTACTCGGCAAAAGGATAAGCATTTTTGAACAACTTGACATGCGGTGTAGTAAAAAGCAGACGTGAACTCTTCGCAAATTAGTGACAATTTTTTATGAAATTGAGAATGTACCTTCAGGCAACTCCGTGTTTGCGGATTGCACTTGAGCGGTATCCCATAGGAATCCAGTACAGTTAGTGCTGGAGTCGGACACGTGGGTTGAATGTCAATTGAAGGCTCGTTACTAGGGCAACACATGTAGTTAATCCCGGAGAAGAAGCACATATGATTAGTACCGCATATCACTCTAGAAGAAGAGCCTGAAACTTGTTATTGGCCCATTTTGTTGTGCAAGTTATTATTACAATGTGGTTTTGAAAACAAGTCATTTTCCACTGCACGATCTTTCGCTCTTGGAATGCATTGTCTTTAAAATGGCGATGAACATAGTTTCTCATCGGTTGGCCTAATGACTGTCTGATTACGTCCACTTCAGCTCATTCAAACTTATAGTGTCCAAGTTCATTTGTTTACTGAACTACATAACATTTTCAAGTTCTGCATATCAAGATAAGGGTCTCTGAACATTTACGCCATTCAGCAAGCTTCATTAAGAATTGTGCAAACCAACTTCTCTGAAACTTGTTCTAGATTCATAAACTCAACGTGGAATAAAAGTTGTTTGTCAACCTCGTGTAAGCTCAACAATTTATGATATATCAACATGGAGTGTCCACCGCTTAACCTTAACACGGGTGCCACACGAAGGAACACCTAACCAATTTCTTGTGGGCTACGAACTTCGGAAAATATGTCGCTATTATTTAGAACACAGAGCGTAGTGAAAATGCTAGTTTTCTGACAATGGGCTGTAATTTTCCAATAATGGAGAAAATTGAGAGGTTGAGAAAATGACAGACTGATGGAACACGTTTTGCCCTGCGAAGAGGTTTAAATACTACCACTTACAGTAACTGCCACGACCGACTTTCTATTAACCTCGGCATTGATCAAGTGATTTTCTTCGTATTTTTGTTGAGCAAACGCGAGGTGTTATTATTCTTTGTTCACGATTAAGCTGACGTTTCGGCGGATTTCGCCTTCCTCAGAGCCGCTTCCTATGAGGTTTCCACAAAGTATGTCACGTAGAGACCAACCGCACAGAAATCACGTGGAAGTATAATGGAACCGTGGAACCACTTACAATGTGGTACTGTGGCCCACCAGGCATCACATTGCTAGCAACATTAAGAGGTGTTTGGCAGCTTACGTTTAATCTACCTCTATATTTTTATACCTACACTTTCACGAGATCTAATAACAATCCCTCGTTGCGATTGGAAGTAAAATAGCGGTAAATTACTGCTGAAAATTTAAGCTTTTATGCCCGCCATTCTATGATAATCATTTTCGACAAAGGACGGAAAGGTTGAAATTTTCGACGTTGATCAACCCTTTGGGATGCACCATGCATTGGACTCTATTGGAGATGGTGGAGATCATCGAATGCATAGTTAGCACACATTATGACCAGCGAGGGCCCGCTGATGTATAAAGTTAGCACTTTTATCTTCTCAGAAAATCCCGGCTCCAAGTTCTCCATTAAGGAGAGATCGTTGCCGGCTCCGAGAACTCCCGAAAATTTATCGATTTTGAGAGGTAGCTTGAAGACTTGATAACCAGACAACGCAGACTGAGCTATTGTCCTTGTATGGTACGTGAACGTTTGTCGAAAAAGATTTAATTTGAATTCTATTTGAAATTCAAACGCTTAAGAAAGTCCAGTCTTTATTTTGATGGATTAAGAAAGCTTGTTTTCTGTTGAAAAAAATATCCAGATTGAGTTTGTTTTTATCTCAGTTGACGACGTTTTCACTACTGTGTGCTTGTCGAAAGAAGTACTTGCTATCGGGTATGAACTATTTTCTGCTTTCTTTATACTTGAATGACCCGTCCTCAGTGGTTGCGCGGGCCCCAGCATAGTCTCCGTTTTTCGGAGATTTGCTGCTTAAGCCATTGTGGTTTCCTGGAACCCCGAGGTCAGCCTGGCCAAAGTCTGCTCCTGGTCGTCACCACCACAAGCACTCGCAGCCCTTGTTGATCAGAGGGAGATTTGCCTCCATGCGACTTTGATACTAGCAGTGATTTGATGGCGGTGATCCTGGTATTGGTTTACTCTTAGCTAGGCTTTCTGATAAAAACACCAAACTCCTTCTCAGTTTGGGGACGCTGCCAGGGGATGAATCCCCAGCTTTACAACGCAGTCCGACACCCAGGAACACCATTAAAGAAAAGTAAATAACAATCAGTGGTTTTAAAAAATGTCAAACTCTTCCAACGAATGGAGTTCCTACAGTATTCGTTAAGGAAACCATAGTCATTACTTTGTGACTCTAGAGGAATGTTCTAAAAGAGCCGTCTAAAAAGTATACAATGCATGCGCTTCGGTTTCGATGTGCTTGTCATCGAGAGTGGCGGTAAAAGCTGAGAATTCGGCCTATGAAACAGTTAATCCTGTTGTCATTTGTAGCGAGAAGAGAGAAAATATTCGAAGAATGTCATCAACCTGCAGTTTAAGAGAGGCGATGTACTTGACGTAACCGGCGTGGTACAATGGTGCTAAAGCAGAGATAACAGAGACATTATTATAATGAGCACGCTTCGTGGTGCTACGAGACACCTTCGTGCGTTCTGTTAAAAACGAGAGTGCTTCCAGAGCAATGAATGCTTAGTTTCTAGGAGAAAACAGTTTCAGTGGCGCGAGAACATAGAAATAATTTGTTGAATTTCACAAGGCCACATCAAAGTTGTGCCTTTCCATCTGCAAAGCGAGGTAGGCACAAGAGAGCTAGAAGCAAGCAATATAGCATTACCGTCTAGATTGTTTCAGTATTTAATACAAAATGAATAACTTTTATAAAGTTTGTAGTTTTTGCGAATTCTTTTGTAAAAAGATGCTAATGTTAGGTGAGAGTTAAAATTCCTATGCAAAAATTCTTGGTTGTAGATAATGATCGCGACCTGTAAGGAGTGTTAAATCTATCTGTAATAGTGAATTTGTATGTATGCATAAATTGCAAGCTGTAGGTTAAGAAGTAGATCTTTTCTGCACAACATTTGAAATATTAGCTTGAAGTTTCGACAGCGAGTCTTGAAAACTTTCTAAATAAAAAACTGTGTTGAGGCACAGCAATTGGAGAACACTCGGAGAAAACGCAAAACTGAAAATGAACTGTAAAGTAATGGTGGTACTGAGAACAGAAGGAGCAGGATATCATAGTACCATACAATCTCCTCACTGTGAAGACGATAATTAACATTTGTGTGAAGCACTTTTTTAGCACAGTAGTATCTAGTAGCCTCGTTTCAGTCACGATATTTTCCAACAGGAGGACCAAAATGCATACTGTATTGAGAACTGAGCAGTGCTTCAGAAGCTGTAAGTTAAATCCGTTCCTAGGAGACCAAAGGCTAACTCAGCCTTTGACACGTTTTTACTGAACCAATTCAACTACGACTACAGCCCAAGCTAATTACCAATTAATACAAAGCAATTTCATATTTGTTGCATTTTACGTTATTTATTCCTTTTAAAACGATTTCATGCATATCGAACAAACAAATAAGGGTCTGAAAACAATGTGGAGTATTGTCCAACAAAAAAAATAAGAGCCTTCATAGGATTTAAATAAGCAAGTTTAACTCTTAAGATATACGGATGTGTTAAAACTTAGCATTTTAAGAATGTAGAAGCACATATAAGTAAATTATAGGTATTTCAACCATTTGTGTTTAAATATAGTGGAGGTGAACACCATCAATAGTTGAGAAGAAATTGTCGTCGATGGTATAATAGCAACATCGCAATTCTAAATTGTAAGGCAGTTTGAAGCTACTGAGGGCGCGTGTGGCGCAGTAGTCCGAGCCGCCCTGCAACACACACATGGAGTCGATACCCGCGCCTGTGGTTCACCAAGCCTTCCATCCTTCCGGGTTCGGCAAATTAGTACCAGACTTGTCTGGGAGGATAGCAGCAATGGCTCGATACATTGGTAGGCCACCGTGAGTCATTGTAAAGGCCAGATATGCATCCAATCACTTCCAACGATACTTAATGAAGTCGAATGCATGGTGCATCCTTCAGAGATTGATCAACGCCGAGGCCTTTATCCTTTATCCTTTATAACACGATAGCACAACTCACCAGGTAAGCACTGAATAGGAAGACCGAACTTGTCCAATTTAGGTTGTTGGTTATTTGGGCATGATGGTTGGCGACCTGTAGGTATTTTGATAAACGCTCTCCGCTATTAAATGTTCAATGTTTTCGTTTTTTCCCGTCTTCGGAAAAATTATGAAATGTTGGTCAAAATTGTGGCATAGCGCTGGTGGACGGATAGCGTACTGGTAGTGATGTCACTTACGACGGGCAAAGCCTCTGGTTCGACCCTCCGCGTGCTCATGGAGCGTGTCACACTTCCGGTGTCGGAAACATTGCACTAAACTTGTCTGGGAAACGCTTATTCTCCTCAATCCAAGTGAGAACGCTCTAAGTCCGGGTATCTCACGGCTCCAAGGAGAATCGAATCGTCATGCATTCAACAACGTTCATAGTGAAAGAGAAATCCTCAAGTACCAGCCTAACCCATATGCAAAAGTTGTAAGACCTTCGTGGATGATGGTTGAGGAGAAAGGAACTGAATGCAAAAAGTGCCGGAAACCTCACAGCATCTATGAAAGACGAGTTGTATGAAAAACAAGACTAACGCTTGGGTTTTCAAATTAATAAATCAATAGATAAATAAAAAAAACTGTTGAATGAAATTCGTACGTGTTGAAGTTATGACTGAGAGCAGAAGCAGTAAGAATGATATCTGCTGCATGATGGTTGGCTGTCCTAAAGGTGAGGCTGAATGAGAGAGCACGCTTGCCCCACAAATGCGCGAACGTTCGATTAACCTCTTTCTTTCACCAACTCCCATTAGTAGAACAGCGGATGCGCCATCAAGGACAATCTCGTCTTCCTACAACAAATGTCATCTTGACACGTTTTCAAAACAACACATTTTATTGATCACTAACATAACAAGGAAAGATGAATTCTACTTCACTTATTTAGATAGACTGTGTCCAAACATGGCTAGTTTGATAAGCATTAGCGAAGAACGTTTTGCCTACACGACTAACCTACATAAATCCCATTTAAAACTCAGCTCAATATAAACGTGGTTAGGATGGCATACATCACTTGCGCTTCTAGCATTCGCTAATTCTCTGTTCCGCTCGCCGAGCAGGACCAAAAATGTTGACAAAATGGAGTTAAAAAGCGAAAAACGTATTCATTTCTTATCTGTTCTGATACGAATTTAGCTTTGAAAGAAGCATACCCAATCAGTAATACGGTAAGATCTTTTCAGACAAGTTTGTTACCAGTTTTCTGGGAACTTTCACCTGCTACAGGGTAAACATTAGTGTTGTGGTTTAAGCAACAGTGCTGTACGATGGAAAATGGGTATAAAGATACGTCATTAAATAATGTTAGATCAGAAATAACTAGTATTTATTCGTTGGTTGAGTAATAAGTAATAATCCGTAATTTTCACTGCGATGGAGGTTGAGAAAAGTACTCTTCTAATGTTGACTAGACTTATTTCAAAGAGGAAAAAAACGAAAATTCACAATGTATCACATCTGGTGATTGAATAGAACATCGCTATCTTCAATTCCCGCTCTACCTGCCGCTCTTCAGTGCGGTAAATCCTTACTAAATATTGATGTGGGGTACGGTAAACAGCGACGAATATCCTCAAGTGTTCTAGTTCTTACTATCTGAGAAACTGACAAAGCTATACAGGCTAGCTATAATAATTGGTCCTGTGTTACGTCAAGTTCTCTGCCACTCGTTCAAAAGTTCTCAAATCTTCTTGCTTTTTTTTCTAAATCTTTGTTGCGCACAAAAGATATTCGACCACAAACGAATGTCATCTACAATAATAGGACTAAAAGTGTGCACGATTCGTAGATAAAAAGCCGATTTAATTGCTCAAAGATGCAGTATGCGAAGAAGAACAAGTGGCTATGAATAAGATGAAGCATTAAATACCAATTTGAAGTAGCTGTAACTTCGGACAAGCAAATCGGGCTTGCACATTAAGATAAACCAGTATGTTTCGTACATTTCTAGCTGCATGGGAAAGAATGGCGATTTAACTTTTCTCATTTACTGCCTCCTAAAATCTTCACGGCAGGGTATTAAACAAAATCAACCACAATGATGCTGAGGTATTTGCAAAATTTCGGACGGCGGGTGTCTGTGGTGGGGATCAAGCACGGTATTATCCTTTCCGGAGCTAACGCCTTCACCACTTCACCAAGCGCGTCTTTCATTGTGGTCTCGACTACAGCCTCCGCTTAACTGGGTTCAATGCCGATTTGGGTTTCCCAGATCAATCCCGTTGACGGGTGACTGCTGATGGCACTGGTAGATAGAAAACTAGCTGAGAGAAAGTTGAAAGAAAGTACGCGCATGGTATTGTGGTGTCTCCCGCAGTTTTGAAAATAGTTATTTATTTATTTTAAGCTGAATATAAGGGTCTTCTTAAGTACTGCATATATGGAACGCCATGGGAGAGGTTACTAAATTCAACAGGAAGAATAGGTGAATAAAATAAAATGAACATGGAAAATTTTTTTATGCGTAATCAGAGCAGACATCACCTGCCGCGAAGCTGTACTTTCTTTCTCAACATTGCTTTTGATATGTTTGAAATGTAAATCTCCTTTCATTAATGGTTTCTTTTAGAGAAACTAATACGTGTTTATATTCATTACTTACGTTACTCCGCACTGAAATTAATAATTTGTCAACTGGCACGCAGCGAATAACAAAACAATAATTTTGAAACCGACAGTCATTTAACCTCGGTACTATAATAATCAACATGCGTTTGCATTGCTGAATATAGACGAAGTTGATAAAGATGTTTATTCGGCTAGCGTTTCGACGTCTTCGTCTTCATCAAAGCCGACGATGCTTGTCGATGGTTTACAGTTGTTCCTCTCCTCGATTTGGCGTCTTTGTCTCGCATCGAATCGAACCTTTCTCAGTTGAGCATCTGGAATGAGCCAGAATGACTCACCTGACAACCTTCTTTGAAACAAAATTATCATTTTGCTGCTCGTTGTGTGCTAGCTAACAAAATATCGACTGCTTCAGGGTGGATTATCCGTTGAAAAACAAATTATTATCATCGGATAACAACATCAACAACAGCCACCGTGTATAAAAGATCGTCGCCTGATGAGTATGGCTCATTGGCGATGCTCAACCTAGGAAGATCTGGTTCGATGCGGGACGAAGACGCCACATCAAGAAGAAGAACAACTGTGGGCCATCGGCAAGGATCGTCGGCCCTGACAAAGACGAAGCCGTCGAAATGTTATCCGAATAGACATCTCTACCTACCTCGTGTAAGCCCAGCAATATATATACACGTTGATAATGATTTGTCTCCATTTTTCCTTTTTGTGCACTAGAGATAATCACCTATTCCAACAACGAAAGATACGGACAGCGTCATATTTCGCAAAGGAATCTCACAATTTTTACTATTTTTAACGATAAGACAATATTGGGTAATCTTTGAGACTCTACTTGAGAGTTATGCCAACTTATGGGCAGCTTTTCGTGCTCCATTCCAAAAGCTGCTTTGAATAGCTTCCACATTGTTCTTATTCTCTTTACTACCGGGTTTTGAAGGAAGTGTTACTCGCGGTGCCAGTCGAATACATGTAGGTCCACAGAATTGCGTAATTGCTCAATGTGGTTATATGTAAACAGAAAGTGTAAACTAAGATACATCAGAGACAAGGATCGATTGAATACAACTGCTTCACAGGAAAAACATCTCTTGCACAGGCTTCAACTCCCTATTCATCAACCTAAGAGACTTCAGGTAACTTCATGACTTCTGAATAGACCTTACATGTACTTGGAAGCCCACCTTTCGGCAGACATGCTGATTTAAATTTTGTCCTTAGTAATAAACAACGGCGAAATAAGTATTGACCATATTTTCACGCTTTAGAATTATTTGATTCTATTTGTTGTAAGCCCAAGTTGCACTACATGATCTCGATATGTTCCCGAATTACCGACAGCTTTGTTATAACGCTACTTCTGTGAATACTCGTGCTAAATGAAAGTTGGATTGTAATCCTAACAGTTAGCCCCTTAGAGTCCACGAACTGCGTTCGGTTGTCGGTCAGGCGAAAGTATGACTGATAGCGATTAAACAGTGCCTTTCCGGATCATTGCCGTCCAGTTGTGTGATTTACAATGCGGAATCAGATCGTAGCGGGATTAGAGGATCATGGAACGAGAGAGTAGTAGGACGAAGGAATCAGCACAGAGCCATTCCATCGACCTGGACTACTGCCCACCTATCCCTAATGATGATGCCGAATTTTTTAACTATGCTCAGAACCTTCTTGATGTGCTCTGCATTATTTCATAGTGGTATGCACTTTTAAAGAAATCATTTCCCTATCATGCTAAAGATTTCGTAAGAGGAAAATTTGTGTAACCAAATTTATTAAGGATTATGTTGTCTACCTTTTGGAGCGTTCAATCCGACATTAGCTGGTTAGTTGACATGATTGTTCTTTTCATCCATAAGGTATAGGATGTAAAAGGTTTTTTGAAATCTGCTTAGTTTTTTTCAGATAAACTTTATTAAACAAGAACTTTTATTCTTTTTACAAAAATGTTATCACTTCCTACAAGCACAATGTAGCCGTTCAGCAATAACAGATGCAGTTCATGAACCCCGTCAACACACCCACGCTAAAGTAAGACCCATACATCCTGACTTCGGGATATAAAACAATTTCGCGTTTAATCTTTCTATTGAGGATGTGCCATTCATTCGACCGCATTAGATATCGTAAATAGTGACTGAGTGCACACTGATCTGTACAATGACTTGCGACGATCCAGCGCTCGTGTCTGAGCCAGGGACCGTGTTTCCGCCGCAGCACACGATTAACCACCTCGTAAAGCGCAACTTCGAGCTTAAAGATTTTTGGTTTGAAGATTTAAAAGATGGAAAGATTTTTATATATGCATAAATACAGTATTTTCCAAAGCTACATATGTGAATCAGTATTCTGAACCAGCAACTGAGATGATTAAGAGGTTTCAAATCACATTTTGCGCTCTCCAAGTAGATTTTACAATTGATTTTTAATTATTTGTAGCGTATAACATTTGGCAAAATCGAGCTATTGTGCAGCAATTAAATTACTTTAAATACATTGTGGTTTTCATTGCTTTGCAAGGCCGTGGGCCGCTGTTATGCTTTCAGCTTTTTCAAAATTCAAAACTGTCGACATCTTTGAGAAAAGAAGTAAAATCTGCATAACGTCGCGTTGATTGATTAAGCTGTAGTATTACAATACTTTAAAGAATATGATAAAGGACCAAGAATTACGATTCCCTTGCAGAGCGCTGTATTCTCCACATTAACTTGACGTGGAGCTAACGTTGGCAAAGATTATGGTGCTTTAAAAAGGAGACCGCAGGTTGATGATTTTCATGAGGACCACTTCAGTTTCTGTAGTCGGAACACAACAGATCTGAGTGGTAGCAGGTCATTTCCCACCCACTCAGTATAACTGTGAACATACGAAGGACATGCACGTAATCGACATTATCGGGTTACTATTTAAAATCTAAGTGGCCTTCCGTTTTTCCGGTTAATCTTGTTTTCGATGATGTGCCATTCTCAACAGACATGGCAGTATGTGTTATATGAAAATGAAAGACCAGAGTTGGGTCTATCAGTCCGATTTCCGCAACGGTTACAAATTATCTCACCAATGGTTTCTTGCGGCGATTGTTTAGTGACCTAAACTCTTTTACTTAATTAGGTTCAGACCTTTCATATCAGGATAAATCCCAGGTGCGAAGGAAAGGCCAATCCCCCAATTCCGTGAGAAATTGCATTTATACTGAGAGGATCCCTTCATTTTCTTACGTGAAGGAATTATTAAGAAATTCGGTCACTTTGTAGCTTCCCTTGTATGGGTTAGAAATATAAACCATGATTAGGTGTTTCTATTTAAGATTTTGTTGTGGCTACGTTAGTTATGGTTAGGACTATGGGACCAGGCCTACAGCGACCAGTTGAATGACTTACCGAATCACTTCCATTTTAGCAGGATTCTAGTAAACCTCGTTGTTGTGACTCGAAACGACCTCTGCGGTGAAGATCTTGGTTTGTAATCGTACGGCCATCTAGGTATTCCAAGAAAAACTACGCTCATGCAGAATTTAAAAACCCGATGACGCGAAAAGTCGCTCATCCTCAACCTCAGCTCAACTCACACACAAGCTCGGCCGTATCAAGGATAACGCATTTCCTAGCTAATCGCTCTATCTAGTACTACATTCGGTCCCAGGAATGAAATCATATGTCATTATTGGTTGTGCCATCGAGACCAGAAGCACATTGTAATCAGACCCTTCTTTAGATGCACATTTTTATCAAAATAACAAGTATTAGCATTATCGCCTTGAATTAATTTATCTCTACAATGTCCGCAAACGGTATTTTAACTTCGATGAGATCCCACCATCTTATCGGCGTTAGTGTACACAGAAAAAACGATGCGATAAGCTTCCATAAGGCTCAAATCCTTGTTTCACGCTCGTATTCTATCTGGTCTTTGTTAGAATTGCGGTCATTTAAAAATTATTCCTAAAAGTATAAAACAGGTGAAAAAACTTTTAATAAACAATGAATATAAATAGGAGGGGGTTACACACCTTATTCACCCCGAATTGGCCCTTATCGCTCTGAAGCACAACACTACGACTTTCATTCGAACGACTACAAAGCAAGATATGAAGCGCAGGCAATGCATGACGAGGTGTGCCATTAGAATGTTATCATTGAAAACACATTTCGAAAAAAAAACTTTTTGGCAGGTAAATTCTTTATTATCCTTGAACTGTCGGACGTTTTCTGAAAATTGCAAGTGGTCAAACACCAACGAGGAAGAACTGGACTGGACCACCTTGCAGGCTCTACCCGACGCTGAACGTTTTTTATCTACGCTTGAAGTAGAGAACTATCCAGGTGAGTTCAGAATATATCTCGCTTGTTTTTTGCCTCTTTCGTTATTTCTTTGCTAGCAGTTCCTAGAAAGCTGTTTTTTTTTTTGAAACTTCTGTGCGTAAATTAAAATTATGTTTGAATAATACGAAAACGTAACGCGCTCAATGAATGCCTTCAACACATTTTTTTCCCAGAGGTTCATTGCGCCACACAGAGCTCTTCAGCTATATTTTTTCTATTCGACAGAAAACTTATGAAATCTAAATATCAAACATTGGAACAACTTACGTCTTACGCCAAGCGATTTACAAAAAATGTCTTGTACCAGTTTATTAGGCCACTGCGAGAAAACGTTTTGGTGAAAGATACCTACTAAGGATGGCTAGATTTCTCTACTGTACCCAAATCACTACTGCTTGCATGCTTTCGGTATAATAGGCTGCTAGATTGCTTGATGAGGGAACTTATGTAGATATGATTGTGTCAGACTTACAGTTCGCGGTAGCTCGTCGTTCACACAGTACGGGTCCATCAATGTGCTTCCAAACATTTTCTTCATAAAGAGTTTTCATCAACTGTTACTATAATAACGTTGACTTCTTAATTGCTGCCTTTCAGTAGTTTTCACGGAAGGGTATTACTTGTGAAACAACCACAATGCCGTTTAATGCCGATTAGGGCTCTCCAAATCAATCCCGTTGACGGGTGATTGCTGATGGCAGTGATCGATAGAACTAGTTAAGAGACAGGCGAAACGAATGACCCGCATGGTGTGGTGGTGAACGCGTTACTACCCGGAAAGAACAATAGAGCGTTCGTACCCCACCGCATACACCTGCCGTCTGGAGTTTTGCAAATGTCTTAGCATCTATTTATTTATGTGATCTTATAAACTGATCTTCTTAAGCTGACGCGAGGTTGGTACAGATCTTCGTTGTCGTTGCCGTTGTTTTTGATGTTATTGATCGATGGCTGACGTTTCGGCGACTTCGCCTTCCTCAGAGCCGTGATGCTACATGCGGGACTCGCACGTCCCGTATATAAATAAATATATCAACTATCTATGCCGAGGTTCATAGAAAGTCGGTCTTTCGAGTTATTAAGAGATGTCTTAGCATCATTGTGGGTGTTATTACAATAACTTATTACTGATGTTTTAAAGTATTTTAAGCGTAACGCTTAAAAACGCTTTAAATTTTTCCGTCGGTAAAGCTACTAAAGAAGTTTAATTGGTCAATATCTCAACGCCTTCGTCTTCCTCAGAACCGATGATTCGAGATGATAGTCATGGTCGTTCGTCCTCGCGATGTGGTGTCTCCTTCGTCGTATCGAATCCAATCGTCCTCAGTGGAGCACCACCCAGACAAAGTAACCTGGCTTGGCAATGTTCTTTTATAAAGGGCGGTTCTTGATACCGGTTGCTCGTTGATAATAATTTGTTTTTCTCTGAAGAACTTAACCTGAAAAAGTTAGCATTATTTTCAGCTAGCACAGAGGATAACGATATTTCAATAATCGACTTTCCTTTAACCTCGGCACGTCTACTCAGTACTTACTAGAATTTGTGATTTTTATGATTTGTTAGTTATCTTTTTCACGTGCACAACCTGCAACCTCATGCTTTCGGTGTACACCTTTTTGCATGTAGTCAGCACTTACATGAATTTTACACTTCCTGCGTGGAGCTACCACTCATTACAAACAACTTCAACATCAACTTTACAATCAACATCTTCTACGTAGAATTCGAGCTACATACAAAATATTTACCCTTTTTATTGTCTTTAATAGAGCATTTCATACTGAAGTATCTTCTGTAACAACCTCGTCTAGTGGTAAACTTCTTGGTATTTCTCGTAACATATTTGCAGCGTTGGGCACGTGTGACATAGTGGTCGGAGGCGCCATGTTACACACACGTGGAATCGATCACAGCTCCCATGGCCCACCAAGCCTTCCATCCTTCCGGGTTCAACAAATTGGTTACAGACTCGTCTGGGAGGATAGGGAGGAAGACTGCTTGATATATCGGTAGGCCACCGCGAGTCATTGCAAAGGCTAGCTATGCATTCAATCACCTCCACAGGGAACTTAATGAAGTCGAATGCATCGCGCATCTCTCAGGGGTTGGTCAACACCGAGAGTTTTCTCCTTTTATCCTTTATTTGCAGTGTAATTCTTCAGGCATTCGCCGTAATATACTTACTTACCTGATACTTGAATGGATATATACTTGTTACCGGACTCCTTCTCAACTTGGGAGACCTTGCCAGGGGATGAATCTCCCACCCGCTGTACATCACAGTCCGACACCCAAGAACACCTTCCAGCCACGATGAGGCGGTAAACCGTTGGAAGGCGCCGTAATATAAAGAACAGCATATCTGTTTTATGATATTCGCTATATGTTTATCTCCCATATTTATCAAGCATGTCTGAAGAAGGTTAAAGAATAGCTATCCATACGTGAACTTTGGGTGGAAAATATATATTCAATCCAAGAATGAAGAAAAACCTGCCTATCATAATACTTGTTTTTACTTGTTTTCCTGACATAGGGACAACAGGACGTCATTTGGACGTCCATTTTCATGCAAAGATTCTCTTAGTTCTAACGCCTGACAAGTCAGCACTCGTGACGAATTTGTTGAAATGGTTACGTCACGCATGCTGATATCATAATAACGTATCTTTTATACTTGAATTCTAGCCATTGAGTATACCTTCTAGATCATAAATTACCCTCTCCTCAAGTTTTGGTAGACCGATCAATAGTATCGCATGGAACAAGAGAATGGGATCAACATCCAATAAGTGGTGCCATGTGCACACTTGAAGCGAAAGAACAAATGAAGATAAAGTCTTAAAGGGAATAAAGGTTTTCTATAGAGATGAAATACTCTTATTGTTGAAAAACTATTTTCTATAATCGGAAAACCAGAACCATTCATTATGTTCTGAAAACAATCTGTTTGAGTAGTGCACAAGTTGTCTCAGGTCCTCAATCTTCAAAAAGTATACACCTTCTCAAATGAGAGCAACATGAAATTAAGAGTCATACTTTGTGTGTTACGCCATTGTGAATATTATGACCATTTTCTAAGCGTCAGTTAGTTCATAATTTTAAAAAGAGTCTGCAAGGTTACTATTTGTAGAACGAGGTGAATTCTCACATCTGAGAAAGTCTCAGCGTCCAAAATTAGTGAAGGAATGGCATTCTTGTCCTAATATATAGCTTCATTGGCAAAAGTGTCATTTCAGACCTGGCATCAGGAGTGCTGGCCTCAAACTCTCGTCCGGGTTGGGAAGGTGGCCAGTTGATATCGGATCCTATTCCATGTCTGCCCAATGGAATCCGAGTAGCAGCCACTGCATGGAGATCCCGTATTGGATCTATCAATGAACAACCAAAGCTACAGGCTCGAACATTCTCCATTGGCACGGATTCATCCTATAGATTCTATCTGTTTAGGTTTGCTCCAAAAATGTGAATGAAGTGAAATTTCCTCTCATAAACTGTAACGAATTTGAAATCAGGAACGGAGTTCCACTAACAGTCGACGTACCATCCGCTAATGACCCTAACGAGCCAGCTCAAGTAATAAAAAAAAGCTATTGAATATCTCCGCGGGCATTTCTGAAAGCAATCAATTATAGATTGTCTTCTATGGAAACAATTTTGTGGCAGCACTAGGAGGCGCTATATTTCTTCAAGACATTGTCTTCGAAGGAAGACTTTCGTGCAATAGTAAAACGGACACACATCCGATTTTGATGGGAGACGACGTCCTTCAAGGACGAGCTTACGAAGAACGGCACCAAACAACTGTGTACACTCCACAACCGCAATCTGTTAAACCACTAAAGGTTGTCTTCTTTCGTTTAAAAAACAACTGTTTCATGATCACATCCATAGAGTTATCTCAAATCCATTAGAAAAGTTGATTTTTTTTTTAAATTCCCACGTGTTCTCGTGCTCTCGATGGTTTGTTTTGTGGCCACTAACTCCGAAAACTTCCGTTAACTTATTCGTAGAGACAAAGTTCACCGCGTGGAGTTCACACGTGGCTCATGGATGTGGCAGGATGTTACTGGGGGTGCTATGGGCGGGTATTTGTGATTGGGACACGTTTGCGCGGTTGGGTCATGAATTTTCGAATTCCAGCATGCTTAACTACTACTCGGTCAGAGTTGTTCGACTGGGCCAAATTTGTTTACTACAGTAAAATTCCAATTAAAAATGGACCTCGTTTTCAGTTTCCTGAGGCGTTTATGATGAGTTCTTTTTTCAAAAACCCGTAGTTTCTCAATCTTTTCAATTAGAACTGTAGGTCTCGTCATACGCAGGAAACTTTTATTTTACCACCCAACTACAGTGGAAAAGGAATGCCGCCAATAAGCATTTGAACTGGTTCTGTTATAACAATAAAGCGTGGTTCCTAACCAATCTAACCGATTTTTGCAATGATCACATAAGGAGATATTGCGATCGTTTTTATTTAGGATTTCAAATCCTCGATCTAGAAACTTATTCAAGAGGTGAGACATTGATACTACGCAAGGTTACCCCTATATCTAAAAAAAAGGGCTTCGATCTTAAAATAGCTTCAAAGGTGAGGTTAAATAGACGGTTTGCACTATTCAGATTATGGAAGAACTGTCCGGCTTGGAAGTGCTAGCAGACAAGTCTTCTACTTTGGACAGATCGTCCGAAAAATCCATGAGCCCATCGAATTCTATTTCTAGTCAAATTGAAGAGGATTTGCTGGCGGACTTGCAACCTGATTCCTTGAAAGCCGTCATACCAATAACTTCAACATCTTCCCCTACAAATTCACTACAAATCCCATCTCAACTTTTTGAAACATGTCTAGCACTTTCTTGTAACCCTTCAGGTAAACCATTTTTTTTTCCATCCGACATCACGATAGTAAGTGTAGATTTTGATCGATGAGTCCAATCGTTGGACTTGCGATCATCACTCGAGATGATCTCAATTCATGCGCCAGTTTCCAAAACTGTTTCAAACTCGCATGATTTCGTTTAAGGAAAACAGAGTTAGATGGGAATTTGAGAAATGTCCACTGGTCTAGCTTTTGAGCGTGTGAAATATTGTAACGAATTCTCACCAAAGCGTCAAGAATTTATTGTTTCAAAGCCAATTTAGATTTGAACTGCAAATTTTGGCGTTCTTCTGGAGAGAATCGATGGGAAATCGGTTCTGCTGACAGGATAACCAATCCTCTTACAGGAATCCATGTACCTCCCAGTTCAGGTTTAAAAACAAACTGTTTTGGCTATCTAAACAAAAGAGCTTTACGTCTAGGAATTTTGATATCTTCATGAAGCTTTCTTTTTTAAGCCCAGAAGTTTCTTGTCGCTCCGTTTCTGGACGCTCACGCCACCAGTTACACTCTTGTATCGGAGTCTTTAACAGTTCCACACATGGAACCAGTATTTTTCTGCTTTCATGATTATATTGCCACCCATGGACTAAGACTTTCCATATGTACAGACAATATGGACTGCTTCTACAAGAAGGATACACTTCTGCTAGGAAATGCCGTTGATGTAAGATCTACGACGAGTTCCTTAATAATGAAATATTCTATGGAACAATGGACAATATAACATTGTCAGTTTGCAGGAAAATAAGAAATGGAACATTCACTGTGTAAAGCTACCGATCGGAAAGTACGAGGTGAGCATTTCACCTTCACGAGAAGCCATACATAGTTCGCCAAGAATAAATTCAATCTTAATGGAACGTTCAATGTTTAGCTGAGGGTGATGGCGGAGAATCTTGGCGGCAATAAGGGCGAAGTCGGATTTCTCCCTATTCGTTTGTCTCGCGATCCAGCCGGTCAGGAATTCATTTGTTGATTTGATTTTTCCATGAAAGAACGTTTTGTGATTAGTTTAATGCCAGTAAAATTCTACATGTTCTCCTTGTTTTCAAGGATAACCTGGAAAGGATTGTTCTTATCTCGTGACATATTAGAACAATATACAATAAAACTTTTGTTAGCCTCTACAAATACTGACAACGCATTTGCGATCGATTTATTTCTAGTTGCCAGTTTTTTGGATACAGAAAGAGCTTAAAATTTCCGTATTTCCGTTTATTTCTGCTACCGTTACATTTCTGCGTCTCTCCTCTCTCCTGTGATAGAAAATACATGCAACAACAAATTTTCCTAACTTGGAATCAAAATTCTTTGGCATGTTTGTACAATTTTCAAGCGATGATGGCCTATAGGTTTAGATAACGTAAATAAAACTTTCTACTTCTGTTCAGCAAACACGAGGTGTTACTTTATTTCTTTATTTACGTACAAGCTGACGTTTCGATGAATTTCGCCTTCCTCAGAGCCTGGAAAGGTCAAGTTGACTACAATCTACACGACCAAACACCTCCATAACCAAACAGAGAAAATGCTGAACCAAAATTTCAATCACATTGAACACAGAGTCTTTGCACACTCACCGCTTTCTGTGAGTCTTCCACGAAATATGTCACGTGGAGACCAACCGCACAGAGTTCACACAGAATCGTACTGTGCCAATCTCATCAAAATAGCAGGCTTATATACTGCTTATACTGCCTGCTTATACTATACTTATATACTTATTAAGGCCGAGGTTGATAGAAAGTCGGACTTGGGAGTTACTACAAGTAAATAAACTGTTCATGTTATTTAGACTAGTCTGTATAAGTTGTACCATGAGCAGGGTGGTAAACGACGAAACAAGGAATAAATTCCTCCACCTCATCCACAAATCTTAGAAGCCCAAAGAATTCTACAAGCAAATTTTTCAACTAAACCAGTCTTAATACCTAGTACCATAGTCATTTCAATAATATGATGCACACAATAAGATTAGATACGAAGAACTTTAACTCCCAGTCAACCGGTGTCTGTTTTTCTACAACACACTCCTACAAATGTTCCCATGCCGAGTCACCATTCCTACCAAAGACCGCAAAAATGTGAGACCCAACTTGCAGTGTATGCCTCGCGTGGTGTGGGCGGTAATGTGAACATAGTGCACAGCATATAGCAGTGCGCTTCCTTTCAAGTGGTTCACTTTGCTAAAAAGAGCTTTTAGCTGTATCATCTGCATCACCTGTCGTCGATCGTCGAGTGAATCGAGCGAGCGTCAGTAAACCTTCATTTTTCCTTGACGCGAGCAGGAGTATCCCGGTGGGTTCTGCACGCTCTAGGGGCTTTTTGACCATGGTATATTTTTTTAGGATTTTCGCGAAAAACTCTGTCTATCGGGTCGGTGGACTTGCTGCACTATGTTTGACTTCCCATGAAATCCAGTCAATAACGGCTCTTCCCCATCGGTTGTCGTTAATACGTACTATGTGCCCGGCCCATCTAATCATCGACATTTTGGCTTATAGAACGGCACTTTTGATTTTTGATCGTTGACGCAAGTCGGAGCTTCGGATTCCTTTCCTTAGTTGTGTGACACGGGCAACTCCTAGCATCGTCCTTTCGACTGCGCGTTCAATAACGCTGAATGACCTTTCATCCTGCTTGCGCAGTGACCAGGTTTTCGACGCATGTGTTAAGGGAGAAAGTATCGTGGAGTCGCTCACTAAATCCTTGATGCTCTTGAAAGCTCTCCAAGCCTCCCGTTTCCTTCTCCTCAACTGTGAAACTAAACCGTTCGTCATGTTGATTTCCCAATCCAAACAAACGAAACTGGAGCATTCGGAGGTATTCATGTCATTGAGAGTGAATGAGACATCACAACCAATCTGTTTTTCATGAACATCGTTTTTGTGAGATTTAGTCGACGACGGCTCCTTCCACAGAGTTTTTCAAAGTCGGCAAGCGTTCGTTCCGCTTTGGTAATTTCGAAACTCTGCTTACTCACTTGGCTATTCCTCATACAGTGTTCTGTCAATCCTTTTAGGACTACTCAAGTTAAGAGTTTGCTGACCACAGGAAGCAGGCAGATTCAGCGAAAGTTGCCGATATCATGGAGGTCACCCTTCTCGAACAATAGTCATGCTGGTTTTCTCTTGAATAGAAGCCTTACATTCCAGCAGGTAACGTGTGAACAGCCCAGCCAATATGTTTATGAAGACTGGCAGAATATTCTTCAGGTGTTCAGGTGTTGTCTCGTGCAGACCAGGTTCATGCAGACCAAGTATTGCTCGATTATTCACAGACGAAATAGTATATCGGATGTCGGAGAGGAGAACCCTGCGGGACGACACATCATTCCTCCTTTATTACGCATTAAGGCAGAAAGATAAAGCTATTAGAGAGATCCGAGTACTAATCAAAACCGAATTTCTCCACTGCCTTTCTGGAGAGTGTGACTGTTCCTTCTAGGCATCGAAGTGCAATGATCTTTGTTTTGCAACTGGCGAAATTTCGTTGGGCTTTGCGAATGCTTTCATCCGGCTCTGCAGCTTCGACAACAGCTGCTGCTCTTCTCTTTTAGATTTCTTTTATCGCCTGTCTGCTTTGTACTGCAAATTCCAACGTAAGTTTTCAGTTGCCTGTTGCTCTGCGATTCCACGCTGGCGTATCAGCTTCTCAGCTTTCATAAAGCTAACATGAAAATACTGATTGCGCCGATCACATTTCTCGGCGATGATTTTGAGGACGTTATCTTCCCAAAAGCCCACTAATCGATTGAATAAATCCCAGTTTATGGTGGTTTTACGAAGTCGTTTTCTGAATTTACTGGCTTTTCTCCTTTCCGCGAGAAAAAAAGTCTTCCATTAAAGAGGCAATGATCTGATCCCATGCAAAATTTTGGGACAACAGCGAAATCAGTCGGGTTAAGCCCTCGATTTACTATTATGTGGTCTATTTCCTTGTGGCAATCTCCGCTGTGGGACTCCCACGTCCAGAGTTGAGAGTGGGGCTTCTGGAATTGTTAGTTACCATGGATGGTCTCGGTCGTCTTGATAAACTCGGACATCCGCTCAATCTGTTCGTTCCATTCTGATCCGTGGATCCCAATGTGACGTTCTTCAGACGTTTTTCTGACGTTCTTCTGAGTCTAATCTTAGTGTTAAATTCTAAAATGATGACAGCGAAGAATGTGTGGACTTCTCTGTAGAACTTCTCCAAGTCCATATAGAACGCTTCGATTTCTTCTTCGTCATAGTTCGATATCTGCGCGTAAACAACGAAGATTGTCAAAGCCGGCATTGATCCACATCTTTTTAATCGTAAACGTCCAATTCGGGTTGTAAGTTATTCGAATGAATCGATGTTCATGGACAAACTCGTGCTGAGCAGAGCACCGACGCCGCCGACTCCTTTACTGTCGCATGTTCCGAGGAACTTCTTCGGTGTCATAGACGGCGATGAATGGGTAGCGTCGTCTCGTCTGGGTCCGGCTGATGACGTCGTGCCTTATCTTTCTCTCTTACATGATCAAATCTTCCATCGAGAACTCGGATGCAAGGGTACGTGCATTGCAGGTACAGATCGTCACCTTAGTTCTTCGTGATCCAAGCAGCTTCCATTGGCCCTGAAATTTCAGCAGCCTCTTCGTACTCGTCCTACACAACGCTGCGAAATTGGGTGCTCTTTCGGGGTCGGGGGACCATGTGTAGCTTGCTGGGCTCTGATCGTGGGAGCTGGGTATAGTCACGGGTAGCTTGCCAGGCTCTCCCAGAGTGGGCATGGAGCTTATTTGTTGGAGGCGACTCTTAACCGCCCCCCATATATTTCTCTGCTACTTGATCGTAGGCTTTTGGCCGAATTGACTCGTAGAATACGATCCGCATAAACAAGAACACACCCACGCGCGCATTCATGAATTTCTCCTCGTAAATGCAAAAGTTATGCGCGAAATCGGTGCAACAGAAGCAGGAGTCTATCCCCTGGATTCACCTGCATTTCAGGAAAGCACAGATCGTATACGGCCCTCGATTAACCTCTTTTCCACCACATAGAAACATGCCACGTTGCTTCGCTATCAACGGGAATGGGATCCCTCTGCGATGGAGATCCGTTATCTCAAGTGCTCTCATTCCGCATTTCTTGTACTCAGTCGTTAGCTCGTCCTATTCCAATGCTGTATTAGACGTGGGCTCTGACGAACTCTTCTCTACACTTAAAATTTTACAAGAAACTTTTTGGCAGACAAGCCCATTGACAGGTAATTTAGTCGGTAATTGGCCGTTATTTAGTTTTTTTTTTTTCCAATCGCTGCGATGAATTGTTTACATCGCTACGATGAATCATTGCTATCGTATGGAATGAGAAGGTATAAAAAATGCGGAAATTGAGGCAACATTAGCTGCAGACGCGCAAAAACTATTGATACACTAGGAAGCACCGTCTACTCCGGGTGGACGGAATTTTGCTTGTTCCATCGCATTCTTGCCTGAACACAAACCTCAATAAAAGTTTGACAAAAACACGAAAACTTGTAGAAACGAAGATCAATACTTTACGAAGAGCTGTATACTGGAATGGACACCAGTGGAGCTAACGAAATATACGATGAACTCAGTCATGTTGATTTTAAGTCGAAGGCGACAGTTACACTGTAGTCTTTGGATTGGGTGCAGTGTTGCTTTTTTTCTGCCAATTCAACCTTCTCAACATCTACAAAATTTAACTTCGTTAACCTATTTCTCTGGAGAATTCTCGCATGGGTGAATGCAAAATTAAGTGGAAGCTGCCATATAATTTGTGTCAAATGACTAATATATCAGTGGAGTATATTTTTAGAATGCTCGAATCCGTAACGATGGTCATACTTTTACATTGCAAATTAATGAACAGCACAAAACCATACTTGCACAATGAAAAACTACACTTGCCACACCAACTCATGCGCTGACTCCACAGAATATGGAGGAGTAGTGTTCATATCAAGCCAAGGTACGAATA